TTGTACATTTTTGAATCATTCATCTTTGAGGTACCTTCATTCTTACAAGGACAGATGCTGTCTTTATTATTTTAAGTAACCTTTTAGGTCTAGACCAGGCATGTTCAAAGTACAGCACAGGACATCCCAACCTGCAACTGCCACCTGAAACACACCATCACACTGGCAGCTCTGCCCCACTGAGTGGCCTGGTCCAGCCCCAGCCGCACACTCATTGCTCACAGCAGCCAAACATCACTGTCTGAGCTGAAATCAGGGCAGAGGGAGAGTACAGGGCAGTGCTAATTCAAGTTACACCAAATAATTGTACATTCCCTGCTTCTACAACACCTTTACAGAAAATACAGACAAAATTAAACAAAGAGTAATAAGTCAATAGCTGTACTGAAATAAGTATCAGAGGGGAAAAAAAAACCCTTAAGAGCAGATGATGAAGAACATTACCAAAAAAGTAGAATAATCCCACGGTTACTACATAAAAATACTAGCAACTTCATTACAGCAATATTTACCTCTCCTATTCTTCTTACGCAGAAGATGATTTATAGATCTCTACCAAATCAGCATCCTCACTTTCAAAAATTAGTTGTTACAAAGTTATACTCTCAACACATGAACAATGAATTTTTAATCAGAAGTTAAAGCTGTATTTTAGTAGTCATCTTTTTACTAATTAAAAATCTCACAGAAAAATAAAAGAAACCAAGTACACCAAGTCCAGTTAAGCTCTCACCTGTTTCCTCAAACTAAATAAAGCTGCCGAATAATTAATAGTTACTGACGTACAACAGACACTATTTTTTACTGTTTTTTTAGTGTGCCAGCTGTGCTGACTGTGGGTTCTACATGCCACCTTCACAGTTCAAAACTGCAGAGGCACACAGCAGCTGCTACCCAGGATGAAGAGAACAGTTAAGACTGTGGGAAACTCATGTGAAGCTCTGACCAGCCTCCTACCCCAAACACCACCAAAAATGTAGTTCTTGTCCAGAACTGGACCAGAGTCTGCCAACACAGAATTGTTCACATTACCACGACACTAGAAAAAAAAAAAAAATCTTTATGTACTCAAAACATGAAACAAAACTCCAAATCAGTTCAACTTCTCTAAGATGTAGAAAAGTAGCTTTTACTTATAAGTGGTGTTTTGGACTTACAGGTGTTACAAAGATTCTAGGCTAGCGAACTAATAGGTTACCACAATAGTGTACTTTTTAAGCTTGAGAAAATAATGAAATCAGTAAATAGTTAATAAATAACTGATTAACAAATTATTTAAAGTTTTCATTCTGATATGAAAAGTATTGTCTGACACAGTTTTCCTTTAAAAGCTAACAAATGCAAAATAGCAATGTATCTGAACCTTCATTTTCCAGATAATTCAGACTTAAACCTGTATTGACTGTTAACATCAACATCTACATGCTCACAAAATGAAACAGTTTTTGTATCCCTAAGAGCAGTTTTCCTGTCCGCCTGACCAGTTACTCATACGGAAGAGGTTAGATCTGTAAACGTCAGATGGTCTTTTAGCTTATTCCATAGGGAGAACTTTCTGAAAGATGACATATCAAGCATTTGATCTTTACATAACATTTTCCCCAGAGGATTTTCCTTTTTGTTTGTAAGCAGGAAGAATAAAAACAGAACAAAAAGCCCAGAGCAGACAGGTAATGATTCATTACACCCCAACAGGAAAGTTGAGTTGAAGAATCCTGCTCCCATCCCTTTCTATTTCTAGAACCTACTGCTAACATGGTAAGTTAAATGCATGTTACACGTGTGCATGCCTTACCTAATGAGGATCCTCCAAGCATGGCCCTCCTCGCTCAGATCGGTGATCTCTGAACCAACTCCACCAAGGACAAAGCATAAATTGGTTTTCTTACACCAGTCTATTACACCAGCCAACTTTCAGAACATCACATTTATATCAAATATTATGTACTGTCTGACTTATTAGTAATAAAACTACACTCATACTTTTGCTAAGACCATTCAAACAACATACAGTGGTAACTGTGATAATCATATTCCATAGCGTGCCATATCCTGTAATTTCCACCTTGTTCACTAAACATACCTACATAAAATTACTAATGTTTACATGAGCTTAATTTAACTCATAAGCAAGGAACGGCCAGGTAAAAAGAATGTTTCCCCAAGCCATCAACACTTACCTATGAATGTGCTGCTCCAAATAATGTGAGCTGCCACGTGTATGTTTGCATCATTTTTTTCATAACACAAATACCAATGTCAGCCTAATTCAGTTGAGATGGTTGATCTCAAGGAAGAATACACTCCTTCATAACTTCTAAGCTATGTTAATGACATGAATGGTATTCTGTGATATAACGATTAGCTGTACGCAGTACTGAATTCCACTTTCATCATTAAAAAGAGCCTTATCCACAGCTACCATGGTGACAAAACACCAGCGTAAAAAGTTGCTGCTCCACTACAAGGATCTATTCTTCCCCACCGCATTGAAAAATATCAAGTGCATCATGAGGAACACAAAAGGTCTGAAAAGAAACAAAATTGCCTCCATTACAACACAGTGGTTTACAACTAAATTTGTCATGCACTGCTACAGTATCTATCCCCCCATGGAATCTCAAGTCATCACTGGGGCTAAAACACTGGCTTGGAAAGTGACGTTCTTTGTAAAAAGATTACTCTATTTAGACTTCATTGCTTTTTTGCCAAGCACCACCCATATAAGGAAATCAAAGTCCACTGTCATTTATTCTGTCCAGCCCTTTCAGCCACCTCAGAATAACCTTTCTGCTGCTTAGAAAGGTAAGTCCATAAACAAGCCAAATCATCTACTTGTTATCAGCACCAGACGCTACTTTAAGTCAGTTAAATGCTGACATTTGTCCTCATGCTCAATCAGACCGACAGAGGTGGATTAATAACTTTGCTCATTCCCTGCTATACAAGGTGCTGTTAAAGAGCTGTGCACGTAACAGTTTCAAGTAGTGCACAGAAGTGACTGTCCAACTCTTACAAACACCAGCACGCCTTGGATACAACAAACCAGAAGCACTGCAGCTGCCAAACACGCTGGCTCAGGCAAGAGAACACTATCTAGATAAGCCAGCAGAGCTACGGCTTCCAGTTCATGCAAGCATTCCCAATCACGAAGAGACTAACCAGTAACTCCTCTGAGGCATGCGAGCGAGTCCGTGGTGAGCGACGCTGCTTTCACTACATGCAACCAGCAGGCTCCCGCGACAGGAGCAGCGCAGCAATAACAAAAACCTTACACCAGAACTTCACGTTCAGCTTCCCCTCCAAGAACTTCGGATGGGACGCTTAGACTTAAAAATAATAAAACAGCGGGGTTGCGTTCAGCCGGGGCCCGGCGGCACGCTGCTAAGCGGTCAGGGACCAGCACGCCTTTCTTCTTTCGGACGGAAGCCCTCGAGACGCGCAGAGCGAAAGGCAGCGCAGCGCGGCCGTCCCGGGGCTGGGCGGGGGCTCCTTCCTGGGGCCGCCCGGCTCCTGCCAGCACCCCGGAACAGAGCGGGCGGCGGGCACGGGGCGCGCGGAGCCTCGGAATCTTCCGATTAAAGAAAAACGTTTGCCTCCTCCGGAACTTTCTAATTTGCCGAGAACTTAACCACGCTGCGATCATTCGCAAGGGCAGGACGCGCAGCACCGAGCCGAGCGCCTCCAGCCCAACACCTCCCGCAAACAAAGAAACTTCTGTGCCCGCGGAGCTCGGAACTTTCCGTCTCCTCGGGCTCCCCCCGCCCGCCCCACCTCCCCCGGCGCGGCCGCTCCGTCGCTCACGCAGCGCGGCGAGACGGGGCCGCACAAAGGGCCGCGGGGCGAGGGGCCGCGCAGGCCGAAAACAGGATATCGGCACGGGGAGAGAGCGCTTTCCTGCCAATCCCCGCCTGGGCGGAGGGACGGCTCCGCCGCCGCCGACCCCGGGCCCTCTCGGTGACGCTCACCTTGCCTCGGGCGTCCGAACCGGGTCCGGCGGCCGCGAGTTTCTCCCGACCGCGAGGAAACGTATTAAATCCAATCGGGCGTTCCGACCGCTGAACGGGGAGAGAAGGGAGGGAAGGAGGGAGGGGAGCGGGGAAGAAGGGAGGGACAGAGAGAAAAAAACCAACAGCTTTCAACGAGACGGGGGCGGCGGCTGCAGCGCGCCGAATGCGCGAGCGAGCGAGCGAGCGAGCGAGCGAGCGAGCGTGTATGTATGTATGTATGTATGTATGTATGTATGTATGTATGTATGTATGTATGTATGTATGTATGTATGTATGTATGTATGCGTGTGTGTGTCTGTCTGTATGTGTCTGTATGCGTGTGTCTATGCGTGTGCGCCTATATGTGTGTGCGTACGGGGGAAGGGCTCCTCCCGGCGCCGCACTCTGCCCCAAGGCAGCCCCGCCCTGCGCCGCGACCATCCAGCAGCGACGGCGCCCCCGCCCCAGTCTCGCGGTCCCTGCCTGCCCGCCCGCCCGCCGCCTCAGCCCGGGCCGCCCTACCGCCCTCCCGCCCCCCCCCAGGGCGCGACGCCGCCCGCCTCACCTGCCCGCCCGCCGCCGCCCTCTCTCCCCGCCTCCTCTCGCACGCTTCCCCCTTCTCCTCCGTTCGGCCTCCCGCCCCTCCCCGGCCTCGGCGGCGGCGGCGACGAAGCCGCGGGAACGCCCCGGGGGGTGGCGGTAAGGACGCGACAGAGGAGCGTACGAGACCGAGGCCGCCGCGCCCCTGCGGCTGCCGGCGCCGCGCACCGCCGCCCAGGACGGGGCAGAGCGGGGGGGGGGGGAGGCACGGCGGGGGCGGGGCGAGAGCGGGGCCGGGGCCGTGGGAGGCGGTGGAGAGGGGCGGGGGTGCGGCGGGAGCGCCCACGCTGGGCTGCGGCGGGGGAGGGGCGCGCGGATCGGCCGCCGCGGCCGCCGAGCCCTACCGGCCGCCCCTCCCCCGCGCAGGCGTGGGGCTGAGAGCGGGAGGCGGCGGCGCAGCCAATCCCGGGCCAGGGGCATCGTGAGGGACGGGCCGAGGGGCCAATGACACCCCGCGGGGAGCGGGAGCGCGCCGTGGAGGAATGAGGCGGAGGGGGTGGAGGGCGCAGTCTGGGCTCGGGCCGAGGCGGGGCGGGGTAAGCGGGCGCGCGGAGGCTCGCGGGGTGAGCGGGAGCTGTTCGCGGGCCGGGCCGGCTTCGTCGGCCGGTACGACCGAGAGACAAGGGCGAGAGGTGAAGGCACTAGAGAGGATGGAGACGCGCCTCGTTCCCCTCCTGTAGGAACGCATCAGTTGTTGAGACAAATTCAGTCCCGAACGGCAAATGATTTCTTGGGCATAAGCAGCTCGGCTTCTTAATCTAATAATGACAGATATTACCTTCAAATGGTGAAAATATTGATCACGAAGCAGGCTGTCTGGCATGCATGGCGGTGCTGGCCGAGGGCTCCGGAGACCAGTGGTGAAAGAGCCACGACTTGTCCCACTGCGCTGTGCACAGGCAGGTATGCTGAGGCCTGCAGTACAGGTGTATTTCTAGGTACGTCAACCCGCTGTACAACTACATAGCCGTGCTGAAAGGCTGTCAGCCACAGCAGCTAGTGGTGTACAAATAGGTTGGAAAAGCAGTCGCAGCTCTACAGCGTTCACTCCTGTTTGCTAGGTCTCGGCAGTGCACTGATGAGAATGTTTTTCTATTTAATTTCCCCGCTGTTTGAAAGAGGTGTTTGACACCCCATGGTGAGCACAATATGCCTCTGCGGCAGTCCTGGAGCTCCGGTTTTGCTCAGCCGCCAGGCAGAGCACTCTGCTGGCAGCAGGGAGGGATGTTCCTGCTGCTCACCTTATGTCCCTTAATTGTCTTCTGCAGGGACCATGCCTGAGGACAGAGATGCCTCTGCTTCTGTGCCCATTTAATCCTGGGCTTCTCTGCTGGACTGCCACCAACGCAGCTGTATTTTTGTAATCTTCTCACTTAGAAATGGACAAAATGCTGTAAAAAGCCAGTTTACGTGAGCCACTAACGCCGTCAGCTTAGCACAGACCTTCGTCTGATTGTTAGCTTGTACAAGAAGTGAAGAAGCTTTTAAACCCTTGCTGCTCTCTCTGAAAGTAATTTCAGTGGTCTTCCATTCAGGATCATTAGTTGCTTCATTCGGATTCTGATGAAACTTTGTTAAACATGCAGCTGGACATATTTATATAAGCCCACTATGTTTAACATTACTGTTATTTAAAAGTACTCAGCTGTGTGTGGGAGTTGCACATTCAAGAATTTAATTTGTATCCAGATATAGAAAGCAAGCATGAGTTTCTACTAGGGTAATAATATTCACTGATTGTTTCTTCCCTTTTCTATGAATTCTCACTCCATCTTTACAGAGCATACAATCCTCTTTGGGGACTACAGCTGTGCCTGGATTTAAATAATTAAACTGAATTATAGATAACCATCAGAGTTTGTAAAAAATAGAATTGTATACATATTTCACAAAGCATGAAATCATCTTTGTTTTGAAAGAAAGAGAGAGAGAGAGAGAGAGAGAAAGAAAGAAAGGAAGAAAGAGAGGGAGAAAGAAAAAGAAGGAAAGAAAGAAGGAATGAAAGAAAGGGCAAAATCACCACTTTGTTGTTGTTTAGAAAAGGTATTTTACTTAAAATAACTCCACTGTGGACTAAGACCAAGATTGAGAGCTTCAGCTACTACTGTTAAGAACACTGATAACAGATTTAGAATTTCCCACCATAATGCACTATACTGGTGTTTTAATAAAATTACCAGTATTTTATCTCATGAGCAATTGATCATTCTGATCAAGTAACAAATAATGCATCCTTATCATAATTAATGCAAATCTCTTTCTGTAACCCATGTCCTCCTTCATGAACTCTCCAAGGCACCTGTGTTATGCATGACATTGTTGTAGCTTTTATTGGTGTGAAATTGTTCTTTGGCAAAGTTTGCTGCAAATTGCCCAATGCATTTACCAGTGCAGCTGGGTAACAGATGGGTGTGGGAAATTTATAGCAACTATTGTTCCCATGATGGATCAGGCATAGCTGTAACATTAGTTTCAGTGTAAGACACAATTTTGCTTGCAGTTTTAGCCATCAAAAATAAAAGCCTAGCCAAAGATTACTGATACTATAGATAGCTGGACTACAGCTCCTGAAGACATGTTGCACAGAAAAGATACAACTGTCTATGCAAACTAAAAAATACCAAGAGTTATCCCAGGGATTTAGAAGTGCTATAAATATCAAGATAGTATTTAGATTACAGCTTCAACGGAGTCCCCAGCAACATTAATTCCCAGGGTTGTTATCCCAGTTACCCTGTAATTACAGATTAAGTGCATAAAGTACAAAATATAGTTATATAATGAGTCTTCCAAGTGATACTCTGCAAGTGATCCCAGTGAAAGTTTAAACAAATTCTTTATACACAACTTCACATTAGACATGAAGTCCAAAATTCTCTCACTGAAATTTCTATTTTTGTATTTGAATAGCAATGTGAGTAAACACTGAGTAAACTAAACTGAAGCCCTGAGTGTTTAAATGGGCTAAGCAACACGTGTAGTTGTTCAGAGTGCTTACTGCTGGTTTTCCCTGTTCTTACAAATGTTGTTTGTTACATTTACGTCTTCAAACTTTTCTGGCTAGATGAAAGGTACTTACTTCAGAGTAAACATTTCTCATTAAATGCTGAGGTATGGGAACAGTGGATCTTAACTTGGTCAGAATTGGGACTTTTGGACATCATTGCAATACAAACATTAAATAACAATTACTGGAAGTCATAATTGCCTGAAAGACATAAAGAGACAATGGGTAGTCTTTTCTATAATTAGTGCATGTTGAAGTTTTGCCATTTATTTTAGGGATACTCTATAATTTACGTTTGTCCATGATCCAAAGTAGAATATTTTGATTGATCTGATTCACAACAGGATAATACTGCAATTATACTGGTGAAATCAATTTAAACAACAACAACAATAATGCTATAATTCCCTGGCAATTAAGGCCCAGAAGTATGCTGTTACAAGTTCCTCAATGTATAATGCCCGTCTCCTATATTTTAAGAGAAGCTAATTAAACCATCTCTGTTCAGTTTAATGTTGAAACAATGAAAAACTGACACTAACTAAACACTGTGTTACGCCTTAGAAAGAAGTTTTTATCTATGCTGGGCTCTACAGTTTTCAAATAGTAAAATATCAAATGTAGCAGTGAAAATAAATGTATTATGTAATTAAGTTTTACGGTATTACACAAATAGCACTAGGAAACCTTTGTAACACTACAACCTGTTTTGTGTATGCTCTATTCCAGAAATGGTTAGGAATGTTTTAGAGTTATTTTTAAACATTTAATTGTGACTTTTTGTTTGTATTTCTCTTCCTTGGTTACCATGGGTGAGCTCCTGAATTCTGGCTGAGGAGCAGTTGGCATGGTGTTTTGTAAGGAGAAGAAAAGACAAAAAGGTGAAGTTAAGGCACCTTTACTCTCCTCTGATTTGGACTGTTTTGCTCCTGGGCAGTCTCCTTAGCACTGACTTTAAGCTATGCTGTAGCCTCTTAGCCTGAGAGCCTGTTTTGACAGCTGATGCCCTTACATAAATCCTGCACTGGTCAAAACAAACAGAAAGGAATGAAAACTGCAACCATGTCGTGTGAGGACAGGGACCTCTGTGGACTGTAGCCATCAATCCCTCACTCAGAAGCTCCTGCAGAGCTACTTCTGGCCACGCTCAAGACTTGAGTTAAACATGAAGTTGTCAAAAACGTGCTTAAAATGAGCTATTTTATCAATATTTTTTTGCTATAAACTCTTACCAGCTGCCCTTAGAAAGATTTTTGAATCCAAAAAGTGTAGCAATTAATGCTGCTGAGGGTATTTGTGTCCAGAGGTTCTAATCAGACCAGAAATAGCTGTTCTATCAAAAGTGAACCGTGCTAGCTCTATAGTAACTTCATAATATTTCTATGATAGTTAAATTGCTATTCCAAAGTCTGTTGTGCTGCATCCTGCAGGAAAATGATCATTCCTCTCTCTTCACTGTTACAAAAGAATCTCTGTGGCAAGTTTGCTTAAAATTAGCAAAGCTGGTGTTTTTAAACTAACAAAAACCCCTACAAATGAATTCTGGAATACCAAGTTGATGAACATGTAATGTGTAGCTGAACATTATAAATGTATAAAAAGTATCACTCCATAATTTTTCTATTTAGGCGTATTTATGATTATGATACCAATCATGCTAACCAATGAATAACTCCAAATTTCTGTAACTGTGGAATGAATTGCATTTATTTTACATTTTAAGATTTCGTGATGTGGGTCACTTCTTCATTTCTGTTTTGACCTTCAAGTTTTCTTGTGAAGGAATACAGATCTGTTTGTTTTTAGCAACACAATTATATAATGTGCACAGTCCTTAATTTTCCGTGTTTGTCCATTCACCTCACTTTCTATGAATAATCTCAATGAAATACTGAGTCCTAAAAATACGTACATTCCCAGATGTAATGCTGGCTCAATTAAATTTAAAGCTCAGTTTCTTGTAGATGGCCATGTTTGAAACTACACATTAAATGTCAATGAAGCAAACATAAAACATCACCTCTGTGTAGCCGGCATAACTGATAAGAACTATAGACTTTTAAATTGTTTCTGTAGGAAGAACAGTTTTGCAGATACTTTTTAAAATCTGAAATGAAGAATTTTTTTTTTTAGTTTTATCTATCCTTAGTTTTCAGGCAAACAATAAAACTAGAGTAATAATTTAAATGTTTTAAGCCACGAATTTCATCTCTTAATTTCTTCCATCCAAAGGCAGGATTTTAATACAAATCTTAACTGGCAGACATGACTAATATGCTATACATCAATAAGGAAGTACGACTTTCCGTGCCACAGAGGTGAAAATGTTATGGATCAACACATTTCCATGCCTACAAACAAGCAAATGCTCTCAGCAGAGAATGTCAATTTACTAAGTGCTTTGAGAAGAACACTTTAGTCAACAGCAGTAGTTATTCTGTAATATGATTTCTACAAATAATATACTTAAAATATTTTACTTAGTTAAGCTTAGATTGAGAAAATGCATAGATAGAATCTTTGCATTTTCTAACTAACTAACCATGCTATTAACAAAAGAGCAGAGACCACAACTGAGCATCATGGCAGCAGCAACTCAACATATTTTCATGAACGTATTTCATAGTTTTGTAATTAGTGTACACTGAGATTAAGCAGACACACTGCTTTGGGGGGAAGTTGTCCCTTTGAATTTGCACTGAAAAAAAATTAGCCTAGCAATAAAAATAGCCTTGTTCTTTACTATTGATGAGACAAATCCACTTAAATCTATACACAGGTGGAACAGAAGCCTTTAGATTCAAGGAAAAACATTCAGTATGAACTACAGTTGTTGTAATGAGGCCCTTAGGGCACTGCTTTTCAACCTTATAGTTGCCTGTGTAAAGTGTAAATGTATTTATTTCCCCCTTCCTCCCAGACCCCTTTCATTTTCTGCAAAAGCGGGAGAATAAGTACACCAATTAAAAGTTTACCTAACTTCTGTGCATTTTGAGAGTGTACTTGTGATGCTCTGGATATTATGCCACGGTATTAGTGAGACAAGTTTTGTGGAAGAGGTAATCTTTAATTAGAAGAACTGGAGAAAGCAAACAAGCTTTAGGACTTGACTGGCATTCATTAATCAGATCTGACAAGTAGCAATCCAAACTAAATACAAGTTAGATGTGATTGTTCTTAGTATAATGAAACATTTTAATCAGTTTAACTATGGGAGAGAGAACAGTTGCTGACATGAATGTACAGGGATGAATCGGCAAGAAAACAGCAAGCTTTAAAAACCATGTCACAACTGAGCCTACAATTTGTTTATCCGTTGTTGAGAATTTAGTTCCCAGGATCGTTTACTGAAAATTATTTGTACATCTCCTATGAGGATCTGATGTGTGCAAGAACTGGAATTTATTCTTTGCTTTAAAAATATTCTCTTACGATTCGAAGTGTTTTGTCCTCAGTCAGACATCTCTGTAGTTCATTGTAGTGAATGATGGTCAATTAGTTTCACACACCTAACTCCCATGAGGGCATTTGTTATGTTTGATATAACATATCACATTTTTAAAAGGAGAGGAGCAATATGCATGGAAATTAATAATTCTTTGGTGCACTGACATCAATTATGTTAAATGTGTTGGTATCCATGAATTTTGCATTTGTTGTGCTGACAAGATTTTGTTTTGATGAGCATTTGTTAGTGCAAAGGCAATTTGTTATGCTATGGGTTATGAATTCAATACTGGAAGCACTGTTTGAAAAGAGAGGTGGAAAAGGGTACCCAGTAGAATTTTTCACGGATGTTTTTTAGTAGGTGCTGTAATTATTTAACACTTATCAACATCAAAACATATGGAATATATATATATAAAATAATAAAAACATACTGTCTGCAAGGGTTTTCTTTTTGCATCATTAGGTTCATGGATGGTATTGTGTTG